AAAAGTATATCAATTCAATGGGCATATGATGCAACTATAAAAATTGAACAGTATGTAATATTATTAAAAAAGCACAATTTAAAATTAGATGTATATCAATGCAAATATAATTATGAATGTACATAAGGAAGAATATAAGATAAAAATAGCTGATTGGTGAGCAGTGAAGTGAAGTGAAATATTATCCATTCCTGATATTTTCTCTATTCCATAAAAAAATGATATAAAAAAACAAGAATTAAAAGCAAATACAAAGTCAACTCAAGAGGGAGAAAGGAAGCACCTGTCATACAGCAGGTCCTCAAATGCCTGTTCTTGAGTCTTATATGTGACAATCTGAGTAGTGAGACGGAATTTTAACAGCAAGAGGCAAACCCTACTCACCTTGAACATCACCATTTTTCTCCTGTTCAGGAAATTTGTAGAGTCCTGAGTTATGCACTTCGTGGGAAGGCAAAATTGTTCCTGAAAAGTGCCAAGGAAGGCAGAAAAGGAGACATGAAAAGGTGGCCAGGGATGCCACTGACCAACGTGAATGTGCACTGTGGATCAGCACGTGAATGTTCATAGCCACATTATTCATAATATCCCCAAACTGCAAACGACCAGAATGCCCTTTTACGGATAGACAAGTTGTGGCATACCCACACAACGGAATGTTATTCAGCTACTAAAAGGAATGAAGTACTGACTCAGGCTACAACATGCACGAACCTTGGAAACATTATGCTAAGTGTAAGAAACCAGTGACGAAAAACCACAGATTGTGTGATTCCATTTACATGAAATGTCCATGGTAGGCAAATGTATATAGAGAGAAAGTAGGTTAGTGGTTGCACTGGATTGGCGGTGAGAATGAGGTTCAACTGAAAGTAGGCATGAAGAGTGCAATTTGGGGATGAAAATGATCTAAACTGAATTATGGGGATGCTTCTTCCATTCCTCAAAGTCCCTAAAAATCATTCAATTGTATACCTGAAATGGGTGAATTCCATGATATATAAAATACACCTTGATAAAGCTGAACAAAATAATTGTTAATCTACATGTCGTTTAACTTAACAAGACTGGATTCTTC